TGCTAACACTTGTAATTTTTTTTATCTCTTGCTAATAGCAATTCTAGCAGGTGTGAGGTGATATTTCATTGTAGCTTTTATTTTACATACTAGAGGCCTGGTGTATGAAAATTCATGCACTGGAGGGGGGCCCCTTAGCCTGGCCTCCCCCCTCTCACAGTCCAGAACCCTCAGGGGCGGGAGGTGACCCGGTGATTAGGGAAAGGGAACGCCCCATACCTCTGCTGCTGCCACTGCCAGCAGCGCAAGCCTCTACCGGCCCTGGTTACCTGAGCCTCGGGCAACCCTGGGTGGCTGGGCAGCCTCCATCTGAGGCTTTCCTGCACCTCGACTGAGGGGACTGGGTGCCGCCATCTTGTGGCTATGGGTGCCGCCATGTTTGTGATGGCGTGGTGGTCAATTTGCATAGTCCCTCTTAATTAGATAGGATTCCTAATGATTAGTGCTGTTGAGAAATTCTTCATGTTCCTTTGGCCATTTGTATGTCATACTTGGAAAGATGTCACCTGAGAGATTCTCTACTCGTTTTTAAAATCGGATTGGTTTTTTTGCTATTGTGTTATATGAGTTGTTAATATATTTGGGATATTAACCTTTTACCAGATATATTGCATTTACTATCTCTCATTCACTAGATTGCCATTTTCATTTTGTTGCTGGCTTCCTTTTCTGTGCAGAAGCTTTATAGTTTGATGTAGTCTCACTTGGAGCTTACAACTTATCCTTTCTTCTGGCAGTTTTATGGTTTCAGGTCTTACATTTAAGTCTAATCTAGTTTGAGATAATTTTTGTACATGATATAAATAGGGGCACAGTTTTATTATTTTTTGTATGTGGCTGTTTAATTTTCCCAACACAATTTATCCAAGAGACTCTCCATTCCTCATTGTATATTCTTGGCTCCTTTTTTGTAAATTAATTGATGATATAGGCATGGGTTTATTTCTGGGCTCTCTATTCTGTTCCATTGATCTATGTGTCTATTTTTACACCAATACACTATTGTTTTAATTAATACAACTCTGTAATATATAAAGTGGAGCAAAAGTACGCCTACAGATGTAAGCATGTGAAACACAGTTTCTTCTTGTATTATTATTTATTAATTATTACATTAGGTTCTAATCGAGCAACTGTAAACCTTTGCCTCACCTTGTAGTTTGAAATCAGGGAGCATGATGCCTCCAGCTTTCTTCTTCCTCAAGATTGCTTTAGCTATTTGGGGTCTTTGTGGTTCCATATAAATGTTAGAATTATTTGTTCTAGTTCTATGAAAAATGCCATTGGAATTTTGGTGGGCATTGAATTTTAGATTGCTTTGAGTAATATGAACATTTTAACAATATTAATTCTCCCAGTCCATGAACACAGACTATCTTTTAATTTATTTGTTTCTTTCATTGGTGTTGGATAGTACTCAGTGTCTCTTTGTTGTTGTTTTATAGGCTCCTTTGTGGTAATTTGGGAGGAATTAGTGATGCATGTAGTGGGAATGTCACTTCATCATTTCTTTCTCTACATGATAGTGTAGTCATTCCAACACAATGCTTTCAAAGGACAGTGCCATACTTGTGACCCCTATCAACCTGTTTCCCATGATGCCTAGTTTCTTGACATACTTGCAATTTAAACTCCTTTGAATTATCTTGTTCTTACCTCAGTGGTGGTTTCACACTTTTTATTTTAAGTATCAGAAGTGTTCAGCTCGTTTGGTTTCTCATGAACTGAACACATTTATGTAATTAGCCCTCAGAATAAGAAATAAGATGTTTCTAGCACCGGTGTAATTCTGAATTTGTTTCCTTTCTCCTCAAGAACTAATTATTTTGCATTTATTTCCTTTCTGTTTTTCTTCTATGATTAAATGGAATGTAAGTAGCAATTCATAGCTTGGTCAGAGTGCTTCATACATACATAACCATATTTGCTTTATAGAGTACCATTGCTATTTGTTAAAAAGTAATTTAAACTTTTTAAAATATACTTTTTCTTCTCTCCCCCACCCCTTTAAAATTTTATGCTGTGATTTTCTTTAATTGTTGGTCTAAAAGTACACACTCATTTGGAAATGGTTTCCTGTGTGTTTTTAGTGTGTAAATTCAAGGCCCACAAAAGGTGTGCAGTGAGGGCCACAAATAACTGCAAGTGGACGACTCTGGCCTCCATCGGGAAGGACATCATAGAGGACGAGGATGGGGTAAGCCCTCTTCTGTCTCTGACCCCTTCCCAGCACCTCTTCTCTTTTACTTTCTGTCCCGGGGAAAATACTGACAGAGCTAGGTGGGAGGGTTTACTATCAGTCTTAAAAAGGAAGAATTTGGTTAATTATGAGTTTTTATTTTCAATTAGGTCCTTACCAGGTTCCTTCAGCTCTTAAATTTTAAGGGAAATGTGAATAGGACTTAAGAATGCTGCTGGGCTGGTGCTGTGGAGCCTTACCTGACAAACTAAGATATTTTTTAAGGCTTAGCTCAGCTGTTTATTCAGATCTTTACTCCTCAGACTTCAGGGCCTCCTCTCAACGGTGCCCCTCCCTCAAAATCTTGCCTCCATTGTACCTTGCATACAAATATCTGGTAGCACTTTGTGACCCCTGTGATAATGCCTTTTCCATGCCTTTCTCCTCAACTAGACTACAAATCCTGAAGGCTAGGGATTTAGCCATATGTATCTTTGTACCTCTAAAGTGCTTAGGACATAGTACATGCTCAATAAATCTGGGGTAAATGAACGTATGCTATGAATGATACATATTATTGATTTCTTAGAGTAAGATTCGATTGTATATCTTCCTAGGGTAAGAATGGTGTCCTCCACAGTCTTTAATTTGACTGTGCTTTACTCCTGCTGCACAGGTGGCTATGCCTCACCAGTGGCTAGAGGGTAACTTGCCTGTGAGTGCCAAGTGTGTTGTCTGTGACAAAACATGTGGCAGCGTTCTTCGTCTACAAGATTGGAAATGCCTTTGGTGTAAAATGATGGTGAGAGTCCTTTTTAATTAGCTTCTTTTCAACACTTTTATGTGTATGTGACTTAGAGGCAAAGAATTTATGGCGTAGCAGAGCTGGATAGCACACATGCCCATTGTAATATTCATCTTTTTAAAAGTGTATCCCTTCCAGTCTGGTTACTTTTTTACATAACCTTTTTGTAATACTTATCATATGTTTCCTTTGTCTAAAGGCCTTTTTCCCACAGTTTTATTGTTTTTCATTATGCTTGAGTCACACTAGGTGGTTTGCTATTTTTCAGGCCTGACATCTACCTTATAAAATTCTTATACAATCTAATGAAAATAAGCAAAATCTGTCTTACGTCCACTTGTTTTGCAATGATCCTATAGCTTTGTATTCACACCTCTTTCATAACATTTTCATGTTATTATAGTTACAAGTACATCCATGCCTAGTTTCTCTGGCCTTGCAAGGAAAAGGAAAAGGAAAAGGACCTATTACACACTCATCTTGAAAAGTGATGTACATCAGAGGCGTGCAGTAAAAGTAGACACAACGTTTCAAGGTCACTCAGAATAACTGTTGAGAACAAAAAACACAGGGCTAACGTACTTATTAAGCAGGACCCAGGCAGGCAACTTAGGATACTTTATGAACTCACCTCAAGAGCCTTTAAATGTTCTAACCAGCCTGGCCAGAATCGCTCAGTTGATTGAGCGTCGTCCTGTTCACCAAAATGTTGCTGGTTCAATTCCCGGTCAGGGCACATGCCTGGGTGTGAGTTTGATCCCCAGTCGGGAGTGTATTGAAGACAACTGATTGATGTTTCTCTCTCTCTCCCTCTCTCTCTCTCTAAACATGTCTTCAGGAGAGGATTTTAAAAAGAAGTTCTTACCATAAAAGCAGAAATTTCATGAAGCACTTACTTAATATGTTGTTATTTCATTAGTCCTTTTAGAAAACTGGTATATTAATTTAACATGTATTTATAAACTTTTGGGAAAATAACTGAAATTTAATTCTTGTTCTGGTGATGACCTAATTTTGGACAGTTTTCTAATATTATTCATAATAATTAACAATCCAAATCAATTTTAGAAAAAAAAAGCATGCACAGATAGTTTTAAAAGGAATAAAAAATATGTAAAAATAGGGCAAAACTGAAAAATATAGCAATATTAAATGAGAAAAGTAGAAGATAAAAATTCCAACTTCACTATTTTTACAGAATATGTAAAACCATGTCCAGAAACTGGACAACAGGTGGAAAATTAGGAGTTGACTCATTAGGGTTGTAGAACTATGGTTTGGTTTTTAACTAGATGTCTGTGTTTAGACACCAAATATTCTGCTGTTAAAAATCACATTTTAAAGGCAAAATGATATATTAACAGAAAAATGAGAGTCTATAGGAAGTATAGACTAAGACGGGTGTAACAAAGGCAACAGTAGCCCAGCAACCATCACATCTAACTGACAGGGTGGGGAGGAATGATTTCACAATAAGGTGGCACTTATGTTTGTCAGGAAAAGACATTTGGGAATGCCCTTTTCTATAAAAGACATTAAAGGTGAGGGCGAATAGAATGAGCAAATAAAAAACCTAATTTACTCCTACCTAAAGTTTAAGAACTATTGACTAAATACATGTAGAAACCTGTATATTGCAGGTAAAAACAATTTATATAATACTTTTAGAAAATAACTTCATCATATGTGATCTTTCTTTTTAAAAAGTTAGAAAAAAAAAGCTGAAGTTCTTGAAGTAGAGAATTAGACTTTAGTAAATATGGAGTAATAAAAATAGTAGTAGGTGCATATATCACTGGTTGTTCCCCCAAAAAGATATCTTAGGTGGAATGAAAATTTAAACTCTTGGTTAGGGAGCACTCCTTTAAAATAAGGAATGGCAAAAGAGGGTTTTAGGGATAGGGTTGCACTAAGACTCCAAGGAGAGCTAGTTTATATTAAATAGTCTATATTATATTAAATGGAATAAGAGAAGTAAAAAGTAATGCCTATGGCTGACAAAAGAGGCAACTGAACCCCAGCCGGTGGTTTAGTTGGTTGGAGTATCGTTCCATACACCAAAAGGTTGTGGGTTCTGTTCCCATTTAGGGCCCATACAGGAGGCAACTGATCAATGTTTCTCCCTCATATCAGTGTCCCCCGTTTCACGCCCCCCACCACACACACACACCTCTCTCCTCCTCTCTCTAAAATCAACAATCATATCCTTGGGTGAGAAAAAAAAAGAGGCAACTGATGAAAAATAGTAAAAGCAGGAGGACAAAGAGAATCATGTTCAAATTAAAAATGATAAGGAGTCCTGGCTTGCGTTTCCCAGTGGTTAGGGCCTGCACATCCATCTGAGGTTCTTGGGTTCGATTCCAGGTCAAGGGCGTGTACCTGGGTTGCAGGTCCCATTCCTGCGACCAGGGCTGTTGGGAGGCAACCAGTTGATGTGTGTCTGTCACATCCACATCGATGTTTCTCTCTCCTCTCCTCTCCTCTCCTCTCTTCCCCCTCCTTGCTCTCTCTCTCTCTTCCCCTCTCTGTACCCCTTCTCCTTCTCCTTCATTTTACTCTCTCTAAAATCAATGGAAAAAATATCCTCACTCAGGTGAGGAGGATTAAAACCCTGTATAATAGATGGCTAATATGCAAATTGACTGAATGGCAGAACGACCAGTCGCTATGACACACACTGGCCACCAGGGGCAGACACTCAACTCAGGAGCTGCCTCCTGGTGGTCAGTGTATTCCCACGGAAGGAGTGCTGCTCAGCCAGAAGTCAGGCTCATGACTGGCGAGTGCAGCAGCAATGGTGGGAGCCTGTCCTGTCTCCGAGGCAACGTTAAGGACCTCTTGGGGGATGTCTTCCTGCCTGCTTAAGCCCCCTGGGGAGCGGGGCATCTCCCAGGGGTCCTGGACTGCAAGAGGACACAGGCCGGGTTGAGGGACACCCCCCCCCCAGGTGCACGAATATCGTATACTGGGCTTCTAGTAAATAAATGAAAAGGAAAAGGAACACAGATTACCTATTAGGCTTGACTAAAATATTATAGAACTTATTTTCCTCTGTGGCCTATGGAATCAATCTCATTATGAAATCAACATGTCACGCTCACTTCTCTTACATTTGCTGATCTACACCATACTTATGAAAAGCAATGTTTTTTCCCACCCTCTTGGGGGTGTTAGGAGAGCTGACTTCCAAGACTCAAAACAAACAAAGCAGCCCGAAGGTCAGGCAATCACTGTCATAGTGGACAGCGTCACCCAGTGCTAAGGTCAGCACTCACAGCTATTATTACCTCCTCGCCCTGGTATCTTTAGCCCCCTCGCCACCTGCTGAGTTCCTGCCCTGACTGCAGTGCAGAGGCCACGTCCTCACGCAGCCCAGCACAGATGCACTTCCCACTGATTCCACATTATGTTGGGCATTTCTTTCCTCTTTCTTGACATGGAATAAAGTTTTAAAATATTGAATTAAATGCTGTTTCAACACGTGGCCTACTGAACTCATCATTCTGTCAGAGAACATACATAGTATTATAGCAAAATTATGTTTGTTTCATAAATATATTTTTATTGACTTCAGAGAAGAAGGGAGAGTGAAAGAGAGAAACATCAATGATGAGAGAAAATCATCATTGCATGTCCCCTACTGGGGATCGAGCCCACAAACCGGGCATGTGCCCTTGACCAGAAATGAACCTAGGACCCTTGCAGGTCAATGCTCTATCCACTGTGCCAAACCAGCTAGAGCGCAAAATTACGTTTTGTATGTCAATCAAAATTTGGTGGCTTTCTGTAAGAATTTTATAAGGTAGATGTCATCAGTTTTTTAATAGACAATGATATTGATGTTACTGGTCACTTCTCTCCTTCCCCTCTCTTGCCTTCCCTTCCTCTGCATTCCTTTCCTCTTCTAGCCCTCTCCTTGCCTTCACAAGCATTCATTGACTATATACTACTTGCCTGAGACAATCTTGAAAATATACTTCACAGACAAAATCAAATTCCCATCTCTAAAAAGATTAGCCCATTCCTTAGAAGCATAAATATTGTGCCACTAAATTTATGAATTACTGAACATTTTGTGATGTAGTTGATCTTCAAAGTATCAGTTTCTTAGCTATAACTTATAACTAAATATTGATTTGTTTTTATGATTCTTAAAAATTTATTTGTTTGTTATTAGGTACACACTGCCTGCAAAGACTTATACCATCCTGTATGTCCACTTGGCCAATGTAAAGTGTCTATCATTCCTCCAATTGCACTAAACAGCACTGATTCTGATGGTATGTAGCAGTGGTGTAAGTATGTATATTTCCGATATATTGAAAGTTGATATGTACATTTATTTTCCTAGAAAAAATAGAATTATAACTGTTATCCTTATCAGTTTTTATATACTAATTCTATTTAAATTGCTGAACAGTACATTTAATTTTTAAAAGAACATTTTAAAATTAAAATTTTATATAGCTATTAACACATTGGTGAACTTTCTGTGTATAAGACTTTTAGATTTTACATTTCAGCAAATAAGATCATTATTCTGTTCTGAAATGTAATCCAAAAATTTTAATTTTTTATGTGTTTTTTTCCTCTATATTGAAACTGCCCATTAGCATATCACTTATTTAGAAATCTGTTTTCTTATCATTTCAATGCAGGAATTTATATTACTATAAACTTATTTACTTTTTCCAAAATCTTACAACTTTGTTGTAAGTGCTGAGGAATGTGTTTACAACACTGGTTTTGGAATAGCAAATTAATAACTTTCCAAGCAAACCATATTATAAAAGGCTTTTATCATATATGATTAATGTTTTGCATTGATAAAGTACATTATGATTTTCAAACTTTTTATATAAATTATGCCAATAGGTCTTATAGATACAGGGATACAAGCCTCAAAAGATATGACTTTTTTAAAACCTATGGTATTAAAGCCCTCCCTCTACAAGCCCTGATATATCAATGTTCTGTTGTTTATTATAAACTTTAAAGTATTTGTTCAGGCCTCATCAATGAGCAGTTAAAATCCGATATAATAAAGATGTAATATGCAAATGGTCGTTACATAGCGACCAACCACGTAACGCAACTGATTGCTATGATAAGCACTGACCACCAGGAGGCAAACACTCAACTGGTCGACCAGTCACTATGACGTGCACTGACCACCAGGGGGAAGATGCTCAATGCAGGAGCTGCCCCCTGGTGGTCAGTGTGCTTCCATAGGGGGAGTGCCGCTCAG